CAGATAACTGCAGCCCTGGCCAACACCTTGACTGCAACCTCCTGGGAGAGACTGAGCCAGATCCACCCAGCTAAGCTGTTCCCGAGCTCCTGACCCTCAGGAACTGTGTGAGAGAATAAATGTGTGTGCACGCACCTCAGTTTCTTCATCTTTAAATTGAGAATCTTAATAGCTTACCAGGACAACACACATGCATGAATTAATCTAATGAGTGTGTTGTGATACATAGAGTTTTCATTGGCTAATTTTCGGAAGTAGATCACCAGGCCAGTCTCCCTAGTCTGTCTTAGTCTGGAAGCTCTGCTGAAAGCTTTCCACTATGGGTGACCCTGCTGGTATTTGAAATACCAGCAACATAGTGTCCAGCATCATAGCAACATGCAGGTCACAACAGCACAACAAACTGATGCTGTGGACTCAAACCAACCATCAAGAAGATGGTGCAGGACCAGACAACGTTTTGTTCTGTGTATACAGAGTTGCCGTGAGTTGGAGCCAACTCAGTGGCAACTATCAACAAGTGTGTAAATGGGAGGGGGGAGTCATTAAGATGCTTGTAAGTTGGGAGCATCTGAGTTCCTGTTCATCTGCGTGTCTCCTCCTTTACCACCAACACTGAAATTCAAGCCTCCAGCCAGCATCTTTTGCCTGTACTGTTGCAAAACTTCCTAAGGGCTTTTCTTCCTCTTCCAGAAGAAATCAAGTAATGGAAATTAACACAAGGGTGAACCTCCCCCTCTCCCCATAAACTCCACCAAACATTTTAAAAATAATGACAACAGTCAGGTTGGGGAGGGGGGAATTCTCCTCCCACCAATGCACCAGCAGAAGTGTAAACTGGAACATTCTGGAGGAAATTTTGGTAAGATGTACTTTTTAGTACTGTAGGTCTATTTTTCAAAACATAATCTAAATTAAAAAATTACAATTTCTGCACAAAGATTTAGTTACAGGCTTCGTATGGTAATATTTCTGATGCTAAATAAACGAAACCAACACCACCACCACCAACAAAACTACTCTCAAACATCCAAAACCAGGGGCCTTAGTTAAATAAATGGTGGTAGCCCAGACCTGGAAACACCATTGCTTACTAAAAATGATAAAGTAAACCGGTGTTTCTCCAAGCGTGGTCCCCAGACCAGCAGCATCAGTTATCACCTGGGAATTTGTTAGAAATGCACATTCTTGGGCGCGCCCCAGACCTAATGATTTAGAAACCCTCGGTGAGGCCCAGCAATCTGGGTTTTAACAAACACTCTAAGTAATTATGATCCATGCTGTCTAGAAAGCCTTACAAGGGTTTCTATAAAGAGCGGAGAAGAGATTTAAGGCAGATTTCCGGAAGAACCTGCTAGGAACCCCAAAGCCCAAGGTGGGCGCCTAGGGGGAGATTTTCCAGTCCAGGAATGATGGCGGCTCACCCGAGGGGGTCAAGCTTTTTTGGCTCGAGGGCAGGTACTGTCCCTGGTCTTCTGACCCCCTGCAGCCTGCTTGTAAGTTGGGAGCATCCGAGTGCCCTCGCTCCCCGGGTAGGCCGCGCTCACCAAGGGGGTCTCGGTCCCCCGGGAAGCCGTGGGGCACGGCGGGGCGGGGCCGTTGCTAGGGGAGGGGCGGCCAGGAGGACGCGGAGTGCAGCCAGCGACGGCGATGGCGACGGGCGCTCAGCTCTCTGGCTCCGGATTTCGCGCCGCCTGTTGCTTGCTTCTCCGGGCCGCCGCTTCCCGCCCAGTGCCCAGGGGCAGGCGGCCCGAGGGGGTTCCTTGGCGCGGACAGCCTCCGCCTTCCTTCCTTCCCCGCGCTCGAGCCGACGGGGCTGCGCGGAGCGTCCTCCGCGTGCGCCCTGGACCGCGCGCCGAGACCCCGGCCATGAACGCGACCTTCCTGAGCCACAGTGGCCTGGAGGCGGCGGGCGGCGTGGGCGGCGGCGGGGCAGTCCTGGGGAACCGCAGCCACGGACTAGGCACATGGCTGGGCTGCTGCCCAGGAGACGCCCAGCTGGCCACCAGCGACGGAGTCTCCGCGGGGCTGGCGCCCGACGAGCGCAGCCTGTGGGTGTCGCGCGTGGCGCAAATCGCTGTGCTCTGCGTGCTGTCGCTCACCGTGGTGTTCGGCGTCTTCTTCCTGGGCTGCAACCTGCTCATCAAGTCGGAGAGCATGATCAACTTCCTGATGCAGGAGCGCCGGCCCTCCAAGGACGTGGACACCGCCATCCTCGGGCTGTACTGAGCGCCGCCCAGGCCCCCGTCGCCAGCGTGGCTGGAAGGAGAAGAAGGGAAACCAAGACCCTCGACACTATCCCGGCCTCTGGCACCGCCTCCAGGCGGGCAGAGCGAGGGGCAACGATGCGCCTCGGAGCGCCGGAACTCGTGGCGGCGGCGGCGCTGGAAGGGACTTCCACGCCCGGCTAGGTCCTGTGTGCGCTTCAGCGTTAGGGGGTAGGAGGGTGGCGGATGGGGGTACTTAACGGTTTTTTAGAAAAAGAAATTCGGGGCAGGGAGGGAGTTGGTGTGGTATGCAGTTTGGGGCCGAGGTCGCCCGCGTGAGCGTTGTGTCTGCTGGTAGCGGTGGTGTGGGAGCGGGTTACAAGCAGGATGTGGGGCGGGGGGAGTTGAAGATTCCGAGTCGCTGAAGCTTGTTGCCCTGATTTTGCATTTTAAAAGAAATATTTAATAAAACTGCAGACGTCGGGCTTCCCAGCCGCGTCTCGGTGGTGTGTGTGGAGGTGTGTGTCTTGGGTGTATGGGTGTGTGTGTTGAGGGTGTGGGTGTGAGTGCTGGGTTGTGGATGTTGTGTGTGTGTGTGTTGACTGTGTGGGTGGGTGGGCTTGTGCCCTAGCGACGAGCATTTGGAACCTGTCCAGGAAAATCCAGCCCTCGCCTGGAGACGCTGGGCGCCTGGCAGGCAGACGTCTTGGGAGGTCGGAGCTCGGAGGGGAGCAAAAAGCAACCGTTTTCTTCGCTGACGACCGAAGAGGCAGGTCCTTCAGGGCGGCCAGACAGCTGGCGGGATTAATTAAATCACTGGGAAATTTGAGTCTATTCCGTGAAAGGAAGGGGAAAAAATCAGTGAGTTGAGTCCAAAAAGGGGAAAACAGTACAGTTAATACATCAGGACAGTGACCAAATAAAGTTAAATTTGCCAGGGGTAGCGGGTTGACTAGGTCTAGTTTAAAATTAAATTATAGGGCAAAAGCCCCATCTAAAGGGCTTGTTTTGGCCCCATCCTTGTAGGAGGTAGATGAGTAGACTCTCAAGAAGCCCCTTGCTGGTCCTGAGGGAGTGGTGTAAGTAAGTGTAAGGTTGCTCAGGCCCCTTTGTGGTATGGAGGACCCAGGATGTTTAAACTGGAGAAAATGGCCTCCAAATGCGGTTGTCTTCAGGGGACTTGGAACCTCCCACTATGAGATGCCCCCTGCTGCCCAGAACTGGTGGCCTCCTGCACTGTGCAAGACTTCGGGGACCTCCCTTAGAGCAGTGTTACTGGCAGTGAGAACCTTGGCACTCTGCCACAGGGGTGGAGGGTGGGTTCTGCTGTGTGCCAGGTGCGAGGGAGGGGGACACCCAGGAGAGAGAGCTGGGCTTTGAGGCCTATGCATGCCCCCTTAACTCTAGTGCCAACTGCACTCAGGCATCCTGGCTGGTGGAAGGTTGGGGGGTAGCTCTAATGGATTTCCCCGTCTTCTCCCCTTTGCCATGGTGGAAGTGAAGAACAACAGAAGGAACATGACTGAAGCCTTAATTGGCTTTGGGAAGAGAAGTGAGGGAAACACATCTCATGTCTTTGGCACTAGTTCCATGGGGAGAGAGGAGGAGAGTTCAACAAAAGCATAGATGGTCACTGACTATGAAGGATCTGGAATCTTCCTGGCTCCTAAGCCCTCCTGTGCTGTTAGAATCATCACCATCAGAATGTGTTCCCTTCCTACCTCTGTCCTGTCTCTGACTTGGGAGCATTTGTCCATTGGACAGGACAGAACAGGACAGCAAAGGTCAGGGGGCCGGGGCCTCCTTATAAAGGGTCTATGGGGCAAAACCTCCACCATGGAGAATATTCTATTGATGGTTTGGTGTGACATGAAGGCAGCTCCAGCCTGATTTGGGGACAGGAGCCTTTAGTGATTTAGGCAATCTCGATACTTGGCCTTCTGTAGAACAGGTGTGTAGAACCTGGGCTGATCCGACAGCCTCAAGAACACCAGTCAGGCAGCAGCTGCATTCATGTAAAACTCAAATGATGGGAAAATGGGGGTTTCTGGAGGAACCCCAGCTTAGATTATGATTTCTGGCTGGCTGAGTTACAGGGAAAACCACCGCAACTTTCCTCTGATACAGTTGGGTCTACTCCTAATTGTGACTGGGCAAGAGGAGGGTTATTCAAGATTTAAGCTTCCTGAATTGTTGCTGAAAAAGGAAAGCCTTAGTGGGAAGCTTTGCAAGATTTTCTCACCGTTTAAAAAGAAAAATGACAGTGAAGACATGTCTGTGCACTAACACGCATGTCTTGGGCCTGCCACCCCATAACTAGTACACCCAGGTGTACAAATAAGCACACACAGGCACACACTCCTGCGTACACACCCATGAGCATATGTTCACACACGCAAGTGCACGCAGAGGCAGGCTCAAGCCTCAAGGCTGGAGGAAGACGGCAGGTGAGTGGGCTTCTGGGATGGGGTGGAGAGCAAGAGATCACATTTGTAGCCTATCCTATCTTAGTTCTACCTGAAGCCCTAATGTTCTGCAGCATGTTTACTCAGCTGCCTTATATAAATCGAGGGGGTGGAGGTGAGCGCACTGAATTACATAAGAGCAGATGAGACATAATGCTGGGGGAAGGGCGAGAATGCATCAGAAACCTGAGCTTGGAGCATCCAGGTGGGGGATGGAGAAGGGGCCTAGTTCTCAGAAGCCCTGCCCCCCACCAACCTCCAGGTAGCTAGAGTTCTTCCTACAAGGCCCACCCAAGATGCAGGGCCAAATCTCAGAGGTCTTGGGTTCAGAGGCAGAAGGTCTGAGACCTTGGTCTTTGAAATCTGGGCTGCTGTACTTCGTAGCTGTATGACTTTGGGGAAGTGACTCAACCCCTCCGTGCCTCAGTTTCCTCCTCTACAAAAAAGGAGCAACAGGACCCATAGCTCACATGAGATGTGTGTGAAATGGCCAGCACAGTACGTGGCACGCAATAGACACTCAATGAAGATAATTATGGTTACTGTTATTTTTGTTTACTGCATGAACTCTTTCCCAATAAAATACAGTATATTTGGTTCACTGAAATAGGATCCTTAGACAGAAAAATAGTAATTCATATATCCAAAGCATTTTGTAGTTTTCAAAGGACTTTCATAAGCAGCATGGTGAATGAAGTGAATAAATATTTTAATGTATAAATACATCTCTGCCAGGATCTGTGTGAGGTTCAAGGTCAGCAAAGGATGTAGTGAAGGTTTAGTCTGGGCTGGGTCAGCACAAAGTGCAAGTAAATGGTCTTAGGTGCATCGTAAATGGTCAAGGATGTGGTGAAATTCATGTGAAATTGTGCACAACAGATTAGTAAGTAAACACAATTAAGCCCGTGTGTACCTTGCTTACAGTTAATCTGCCCCTGAACCTGCAAACTCTCAGAAGTGACAGGAGAGATGCAGGTGGGGGAGGGTGGGAAGGACCAGCATCCACTGAGTTCATGTAGGAGCCAAACACTTTACAAACATTATCTCGTTATTTAATCATCACGTGAACTTTATATGTTGGGGATTATCCCTGTTGTACAGATGAGGAAATGGAAGCTTACACAGCCAGGAATGGCAGATTGAGTATTTGATTCCGGCGTGTCTGCCTTCACAGCCTGTGTCTTGTGCTCCACCTGACTGCCCATCACTAGGGCAGCTGGGGGCAGGGATGGGGCTGAGGGATGCAGAGTAAGAGAGAGATGGCACTGGGGAGTCAGCAAGGTGACCAGCTCTTCTCTCACAAAGGGAGAGGAGGTGGGGCTGGGGCTGAGCTGCTGTTACTCACGTTATTCACACATCTTATAAACTTTTCTCCTTAGGTCAGGGCTGGAAATCCCCGCACAGGGGGCCCCATCTCACTGGCTCTCAACTATTCACCATCAAGGCTCTTTTATTATTTTCTCTCCCATGAATCATTCAATTTGTAAGGCATTTATCTGCCAAGCACAGTCCTCTTGTTAGAGAATAATGAAATTATTTGCCATTTACAACTGCTAATCAGCACTCTGCCCATCCGGAGAGAGCCCCTTCACAGCCCAGAGCAGGAAAGCCTGAAAGTTCTGTGGATGTTTAGGGTCTCCAGGCACGGTAGAGTGGCTCTGGGCTCTCTGCGGGGTGTCCCGTGTAGCCCTCTCATTGTGGAAAAGGGGAAACTGAGGCCCAGCAAGAGCGGGTGGTGGAAAGGACACTTCACCTGGTGGCTGCCTCCTTTCCGGCCATTCTCACTCCATGGCCCACTGCCCTCCCTCCTGCCAAAACCAGCCAGCCTCCCTGCCCTACTCTGAGTGGGCCTCACGGGAGGAAACATGGGGTCATGCCCTGGCACCAGGACCAGGGAAGAAGTGGGATCAATTTGGGGTCTGGAGCACCTTCCAGGAGGGTAGCCAGACTGGTCCCTCATGGGGACAGGGAGCCCCAAACCACAAGAAGGCTTTGGGCACCTGGGAAAGAAGGGAGAGAAAGATCTGAATCAGGAAAAGAGACCCAGAGAGGCGGAGGGCCAGAGCGAGACCAGCATCACCTTCTCCTGGGAGGCCCCTGGCTGCTGGGGTCCTCCGACATGGCGCGGCTCCACTCTGCACCGAGGTGCCCAGTACCAAGACGCCGAAGCAGGCCTACAGTAGCTGTGGTGAGGGCAGGTGTCGGCAATGATGCCTCAGAGCAAGGTTCCTCTGAGAACAGCGATTTTCAGCGTTGGCAGCTCTTTAGAATTACCTGGAGGAGCTTTTGAAGATTGTGATGGCTGGGCTGCACTCCAGACCAATTAAATCAGAATCTCCAGGGGTGGAAAGAGGCTTCCGAGTTAGAACTCCCTCCCCAGGTTCAGTGACTGCCAGGTGGTGCTAATTACAAGAGAGAGCCCCTGGTATTTCGGTTTTATGCTGTTCCAGGCTTTCTGTCAGTGTCTTGAAGACCCTTGCGATTATCTGTGTGGGGGTGCCAGGGTGGGAGGCAGGCAGAGGGAATGGAGGGAGTTCAGATTTTAAGATTACACAGA